GTTGCCCCATTGTGGGCCTGGCCGAACCCATAATGGGCTTGCTAAATGAGGCCCTCTTAGCGCCCACAGGGCAGAAATAGTTTAAAAAAATACATTTTATGTATTTTCAAATTTAACAAATATAACAAATTTTCTATTAAAATTTGTTAAATAAATACCTACCAACTGAATTTTGCAGTATTTATTAATTTTGTATTGTTTCCCTAAGTTTTCCGAAATCGTCGAATAGCAGAAGCGGTTACTATTCCACGGCGATTATTATGATACGCTTTAAGCATAACATGCAGTTACTATTCGAATTAAACCGGTAAATATAATTCAAAGTTTTAATTAGATATGATTAAATTAATTGTTACCGTTTTCAATTTAATTAATGTACTTTTTCTTAGTGAATCACGGAAATCTTTATTAAAAAAGATTAGAATAAGATAGGGTAGAGGCACTGAAAATGAATTCGTAGAACTAATGGGACAATAACAGGAAAAATTTGGTTGCAGTGTAATCGGTCAGCTCTGGAATGTAATCAGTGGAATAAATTTCGTGCCATAATGCATACGCTATCATGGAATGATTCACATAATGCAGTGCTTCTCAAAGTGGGCGATATCGCTCCCCGGGGAACTTTTAAATTATCCAAGGGAGCATTAGGCATGGTGGGAGGCAACAGGAGATGATAGGTATGATTGTGTTGGTGGGCAAAAAAAAAATCCCCAGGCAAGGGCCAGTGTAAACAGAACAGGGGGTGTTACTACTAACAGTCACAACTAAGTTGTGGGTGATCCAAAAAAATTTGAGAAGTATTGTACTGGCATAATGCATACGATATCGTCGACTTTTACATGGATAAAAATAAGAATGTGTTTCCAAAATTAAAAATATTTAAAATGTAAAAAATCGAAAAAATTAAAATGACTTTTTTATACATCTGTAACTAGTTAATTTAATCAGATTTTGAATCAGATGATATAAGAATTAAGCCTGGATCATCCTTACTGAAGTTTTTAAAATCAATGGTTTTCAACTTTTATAAAACTAATAAAAACTAGCAAATAGCCAGGATGGTAGTTACATTTAAAAATTTTTTACAAGAATTTAACAACAAAAAAAAACTACAAAGGAATTCTTTCTTTATCTTTCGTCCTTTTCAACTTCAAGCACAAACAGTCTTGCGGCAGAGTTGACCTTTTATTATTGGCTATTATCCGTCTCAATATTTAAAACATGTAAAAGAAATTTTCCTTTGGCAATGGCTAAAATCGTACATGTGTATATAACAACATTAATAAAACTAGTAAATTGTCAGGACGATAATTACATTTGAAATATTCACAAGAAGCTGTAAGACTGTTTGTTACTGAGATGTGAAAAGGACGTGGCATGCAGAAAGTTGAAGAATCTCTGTGTTTTCTGCTGTTAATTTCTTGTAAAATTTTTTAAAAATTTTTTGTAAATTTTTTAGTGTTTTCAATTTTGTCAAAGAAATAGTCGTAAACTGGGCTTATTGTGTTTAAAAAAATTTAAGATGACAAAATTATCGTTTGTGATGCTTTTGTGTTTGTGTGATGTTTATGTGAATTTTACAGCTAAAAAACACTGAACACTTATAATATCGCTGCACTTACGATGGTTAAATCGTAAATACAGGAGCACAATTGATTTAATTTAAGGTCTATTTTAATTTTTTGAAATCGCATTATGAGAGATCGCATACAAGGAGGACATACCGTGTATATACTATAAAGATGGATCAATAAATAACCAGCCAAAAGCAATAGCATAAATGATTGCCCCGGATGGTTATTTATTGATCCACCCCTACACACAATATGTACAGTACTTGTATCAGGCTGTTAAAAAAGTGATTTATTTCTCAACGTTAAAAAGTTAATTAATCTAAATAATTACAAAATTATAATTATTAATGTTCTACAAGTAATTACTTGTGTAATTTGTAAAAGGCATTAACTATGCCATAATTTATGAGATCGATAAAAAGAAAAATAAAAACACCATAGATTTGTTAAAACTTAGGAAAGATTAATTGTAGCAAAAAAAAAAAAATAAAATAAATTGTTTTGCTTCTACTCAAACGAATGATATACAGTATGTCGTCCAGTTACGTGGTTAGAAACAATATTAATTTACATCTCAAATTTCTAATTATTCCAGGAAGTAACAGATGACATTGACGACGATAGACAGTGCGCTAAAAATTTAAAATTCTATTGGAAAACCATAATGTGCAATCGTAAATCGTTTTTATTTAATAACAATAAAAGAAGGGGGAAAACAAACTTTTAAACAACAATAAAATTAGAAAAAATTATAGAAAAATTGTTATAAATGTTTAGTAAGGGGCAATATCCTTTATAAATGTATAAAATATATTTAAGCAATAAATGGCATCGTTTTAAAGAATTGAATTTAGAAATAACTTTGTTATACTTTGTAATTTTATTTACGTAATTTATAATAGTCTATACCAAACAGTAAATATTAAATTTTAATTCTTCTTTTTATTTTACGCATATTTATTAATAAATTTTAATTATTTTTTGTCATTTCTAGAAAGTTTTTTCATTTTTTGATGCTAAAATAGTTGTTCTACAGTTAGCCTATTACATCATTAGTTAAATTGGTTTTAATTATTATATCATTAATTCACTTACTGAAAATTTTTAAATTACATCCGTAGAACACACACAGGTTTTCCTAGCTTATAAAACAGTAATAAAATATTTTGGAATTATCGCATTTTACATCCTAACTAAAATATTATTATATTTTACAGTTAGGATGTAATACTTACTTAAATAATACTTAAATATATTATTACATTTAAAAAAAATTAAAAGCGGTAGTAGTGAAATATTTCGTTAATACAGTATTAGTTATATTAAATTATTATTTATAACCCTTTGAATAAAAAAAAATGGCACTGAACTTGTTGGCAATTTCTTTTAACAATTCTTTCCGGTCATTGAATGTAAACGGGTATCAAAGAGTTAAAAAATTTTTTTTATCAACCGTTTGAACTAGGGTACAAAGACTTCGGTGAACTCATTTTGTTTATTAATTCGGCCTTAATTTACGGATTTTTCAGGTTTTAATCAATTTGGCCGATGATAAAACTTCATCTTTCTTAGTAATAATCTTCTAAAACAAATTACTTTTTAACAGCAATTTACTTCTAAGAAGTAATCTATAAATTTAACAAGCGCGGCGAATATATTCTAAAAATACAACAGATCTATCATAACATTTATAAGTATTAAAGCAATACTATCAAGTACGCAAAATCTAATAAATTTTATCGAATTGTTTTAACATTCGATATATTTATTTTTAATCATCATTAAGATACATTTCTTTTTATTTATACAAAAGTCATGTGTACTTTCTACGAAAACGTGTATATTATTTAATTAATTGGAATCTATAATTTGTAAATATAAATTTTAATTAAAAAATGAAAATTAACCGTGGAAATGACAAAACGAGTTAAATGAATGTATGAAGTCATATTAAGAATTATGTTTTTAAAAATGTAGTAAAAATAAATATAAATGAAAACAATGTAAAAAGAATAAATGGCGTTTAGTTTTAAAAAATAATAATAATTGACTGAAGTAGTAGGCTTATAAGCTATCAATTTACATTTTACGAACTAAAAGTGACGGAAACAGATGTTCATTTAGTCAGGTTTACTTCCTCTTATTAGTCAACAAACCATTAAAAAATGTTTAATTATTTATATCATAAATTGCAGATTATCTATAAGGAATTCATTTATAAAGATATATAATTCAAAATTCTATAACATTCATTAGAAACAAACATTTTCAACTATTCTTTACTTACACACACCAGTTTAAAATAAACTACGATCATAAATTTTGAAGTAAAGGGTATAAAAAATTTTCTGATTTATGTTTGTTAAATTGTCTAATTGTAATTACGAAATAATTTTTAAATTGTATTTAAATTTCTTATTTGAAAGATGGATTCTGCTAACTCATTAATTTAGTTATTATGTACTGTACAGTACACTACTTTAATAGACCTATATCCTAATTATTAAAAAATAAATTATAAAATTATCTAAATTTTCATCTCATCTATAATAAATTTTCTTTATGATTTGTTAATGAAGTAAATTTAATTTCTTGAATGGATATTTATGGAAATATTAACTTGTATAATCCAGTAATTTTATTTTATAATTACTGTATAATGAATAATTATGCGTTATTTTCTATATTTTCCTATTCGATAGATTACGAAAGGAATTTTTACGTATCCAAGAAATTCTAAATGAAGAAAAAAAAATAAAACATTTGGTTTTTGTGTCTTAATGTCCAATTAAATTACTTAAATTGAACTTTCAAGACTTTTAAATTTTCACAATTTACATGAAGAAGAATAAAGTATTTTATAAATAAACATTATTATACATTTGTTAGTCAATTTATATTAAAATCTTTATTAATAATTACACCTTTTATTAGTTTATTAAATTTAAAACTTAATGAGAAATTAAAACCGCAAGACCTAAATATAAAATAGAATTTCCGCTTATATTCCACGCCTACAATTTTGAAACTAATATTGAGTTCTCACGTTTATTGAATGAAGTTAATAGTTTAAACATATGAATCAACCACATGGAAATGTGTAACTGAGAACAAGGCATCATCTGATCTCTACGAAAATATTCAGTTTTTGTCGTGGTAGTACCAAAATGTGTTTCTAACAAATAAAATTTAACTTACAATTTATGTTGAAATAATTCATTCAAGTGTTATCCAAATTATATTTTAAAAAGATATATTATACATTTAAACCTATAAACTACTATATAAATAAATGAGAAGATAATTTAGATAATAATTAACATTTAAATTTCAAATGTAAGAATTCAAAGAATAAGTCATGAAAACTATCTTTACACACTCTTAATTATGATTCCTTTAGTTAATTTTGAATAATAGGATCCTTAATGTAATTTTTTTATTTTTTTATTAGAATAAAAATGAAATCTGAAAATTTCAAGTTTTAATTCAAACTAAATTAATAGATTCGAAGTCGGCTGCAGTTTTCATGTTTAAGAAACTATTATTAATTGTTTTATCACCGGTTCAATTGATATCTCGATTAACTTTAAATCCCAGATTTCACATAGTCAACCGATGTCCAGCCAATTGCTCGATATCCGGTCGTCATCCAGTATGAGGTCGTATTAATCAAGAATGAAATAAGTAGGAAGTCATTCCTCTTATTTTGTCCTTGTAACAGGACGAGTAATGTGGATCAGCGAAAATATATCCTCCTATTAACAAGATTAATAAACAGGTAAGGATGCATTCAATAAGTTATATCCCGCATTATAACTCTTATCATCGTTTAAATAATTTATCTTCATCCGTTTTAATTAAAACGAATTCTATTATAAAGGGAAATGAATGCAAAGTATTAATCATACAACTGTTGGAATGAACCAACTAATTTATTTTACCATACGGTTAAATCTTACGGAATTAGATTTATGTGCATTTAATTCGAGTAGAATTATGGATTCAAATAAATTTTAAAGTTGTATTTTATATGATATATTATTAGTAAACATAAAATTCTTTAGTAAAATTTTAGAGATCATAATTTTAAAACATATTATCATTTTGGATTTTTACAAGGTATAATTATAAAAATCGGAAAAAAATTAGTAGTACTTAAAACAAATGAAAAGAAAATATTTAATATTTTATATCTGCTATCAGATAGGCTTGACCAGTCTTGTTTATTTAAAAATGATAATAATTAACAATTTATTAAGCCTATTTTATTTTTATCGCTGCTTTCATAATAAAATCTAATGCGGTATTTAAGTTACGTATAGAAAATCCAAGTTTTAATCTATATATAGTATAAATCTCTTTATATTAAGATTATCTTTATTAAGATTTGCATGGTAATAATCTTAATATAAAGATATTTATACTGTATATCCATTAAAATATTTATCTTAAATATAATTTGAAAATTTAATTACCTTAAATGTAATTCTTTACTTAAATGTATATAAATAATATATAAATAAAATTAAAAAATAATATATCCTTAACAAATTAAATAAGTGATGTATTTATAATTTAAATTTTATTGTATTTAAAAACAGTAAAATAATTTAATTATAAAAGGATATGGCAACAATTTAAAATAATACAAATGAAATAATATGAGCAATAAATGTGAATGTTTATATTTGCCTCAAATATAATTACTTAATTATATTCTGGTAATATATAGATAATATAAGCAATGATAGGAAACATATTAAGATAATTATAAAGTAGCTTACTTTTGTATTTGCAAATTTGATGTGAGATGATCTACATTACTTTCATCTTTGATTGAAGGACGAGGCTTAGGCATTGACTTCAAAGAATATTTTTTATCTATATTTTCTACATAATTTAACTGGCTTCCATTTCCTCTTTCTGCAATAAATCTACAGAAATATAACAATATATTTACTTGTATTATAATTTAAAATTATTTAATATAATCAACATAAATGTTATATATTTTGTTATTGTTCATTTTTTTCCTTTTATCTATATAAAGCAGTGTTTTTCAACCTTCTTGAATACGCGACCCCTTTACAAATTAAAAAATTCTGGAGGCCCCCTAGGGCCATATTAAAACTATATCAGTGATTTTAAAAACTATGTATTTAATTTTCTTTCTGTTGAGACAAATTATTGTTTATTAAAATGAAAATTTCAGAAGAATCGACAATAATTTAACACACATAAAGTATGAAACTTCCTTTAATTATAACATTAGGCACAGGGAACTGTTGACCTTTTTTTTT